AAATACAGTGCTACTGCCTACATAAACAAGGCTCTGGCTCTACATTCTCAGTCAACACAGGGTATTGGCTGGTACGTGTGGGAGACCAGGAATCTTGCATGTTTTCCACTCTCTGCACAATTGTTTCGCTGCTGAAGTGGAACTGTGTGTCTGACTGTGTGTCACTAGGGATGATTTTCTTCTTGGTTGTCAAGTAAAAACGCAAGACTGGTAATTCGGTCTGCTCATAAAGTTCTCCAACTGTAATCTGGTCATCTACTGCTTGCTCTTTAAAGTCTGTTACATCAACCACAAAATCTGTGAAGTTTCCCTCGGAACTTTTCTCATCAGGAAAAAACAAATTGACAGCTTTTTCAAGTAGATCCTTTTTTCTAGTGTCCTTTGACACACAAATTTTCCGTGTACCCCCACCTTTTTTTGTTCGTACCTGAGTAAACTTCCCTTCTCGAAAATGCATCCATCCCATCTCAATTTTTCGCATACTCTGAGCATTTTTTGACACTTTTTTTCACATACATTGTCAGCGTCACCTTTGCTTCTCGCTAGCCTGGTTCTCAGCCGATCAAAAAGTTTAGCTTTTCGGCCACTGGGATCGTGTTCTTTTCGCCTGCAGTATCCATGAACAGCCAGTCGGTCACCATAGGAAGGCAGATAATCCTTCAGCTGGTCATCTGTCATAAGCTGTATGACACTGCAGTCAATCTGCAAAAAGAATATACTTTAAAACACTTTAAATATAAGTTTACCATTCTCTGATGACAGTGACCCTGTGAGGTATAATTCAGAAATATTATTGATTTAACTGAAGTGACATTGGATGAGAACTGAGCTGTTGTGACTTACGTGGGGTGATGCAATTCTTTGCTTAAAATCCTTTCAAGAGTGGGTTTGCTCAGTATTCCATGCCGTTCCGCTAATTAAGGCAATAATATCATCAAACCAGGTTTAAAATTCCATATAAAATACTCCTTAACGTGTTCACATTATTAGACCTGGCCTTCCATAATCGTGTGTCGTGTAGATCAGTGAGCCAGCAAGTCATCATTTCGACTTTTTAAATCTCAATCTCGTAATTTCGATTTAGTAAATCATAATTTCAATTTTTTATCTTGTAATTATGACTTAAGTATGTCATAGTTTCGACTTTTTAAGGCATGATTTTTTTTTCTTTCCTGGCGGAAACGGGCTTCCATACATAGATGTAAGGTTTGTTATGCGACTTAAGACTGCTTTTGTGCTCCAGGGTCACAATTAATTGATTCGCCCTAATTCTTCTTTTTTCTCCTTGATAAAAATCCTACTGTGTGTCATACCATTTAGCTTGAACTATATTCACAAATGTCATTTAAATAATTTTGCAAACCGTGTAATGCAGGGATTTCCAATTTTTTTTTCTTTCTGTCAAACCCCTTAAAATTAAATATTTTTTAATTTGCCCCTTAATAAAATAAAAGCTGCTTAAAAGAATTGTAACGCCCCGGAGCCTGTATTAAAATCATGCTGAATGATGTTCAATAACACCTTCATCGCTAGATGGCGATAGAGCTCTTTTGAACTTTGAACCTTTTCTGTCCACATGTTACATGTCAATATTTGTTGTCTAAAAGTGATGTTAAGTGATATTGCATCATATAATATATGTGTCTTTGATCATGTGTTTAGGCATTTAATTTGCTAGTTTTTAAAAGCATGTTGTTATTAATACTCAGCTGCTTTACAAATTTGGGTATTTTTGTTAGATGTAGGCTACATAGCATACAGGCTATGTTAAATACAATGTGCATTAATGTTTAGTAAGAAATTAAAAAGCAAGCAATAATATGCAATAGGCTAATATGTTTCTGGCATGTTTTGTGTTTGGCAACAATTCTTTTAAGCCTTACTGATGTAGTGAGTAGCTACAATGCTGGAAGACGCACCCATGTCCATATTCCAGGATGACAATGTCAAGATTCATCAGGCTCAAATTGGGAAATAGTGGTTCAGGGAGCATGAGGAATCATTTTCATGTTTGAGTTAGTCACTGTCTTGAGGATGTGCTGGATTCAACTTTACAGAGCAGTTCAACTCCCACTGTCAATACAAGATCTCGGCTAAAAATTAATGCAACTTGATGGAAATAAATGTTGTGACATTGCATGTCGATGTTGCATTTCAATCCTTATTTAAATCCAGCAACTTTTTTTGGCCAGGCAATGTATTTAATTGGCTACATGTTGGTACAATCTTTATTTTATTTTATTTTTTTATGAATAACCACAGACAATTGTAAAACAACTGCAAATTCATTAGTCAAATGTGTAGTCAAACAAAACCTGAAATATTTTACAGGAACATCTTGGCTTCAATTTAAAACAAAATATTTGGTAGCGCAACAGTCTGATTTCACCAGCTCTTGAGGGCCAAATCATGTATTCACAAACCTCACACAGTCACTCCCTCACAATTCTGCATTTTTTATTTTACCTTTATTTTAAAGCAGGTAAGTGATTTCACAACTTTTTTTTTGTGTGTGTGTATATATATATATAACCATATTTGTAAACGGAGAAATAACCAAAAAATAATAAATCAAAATAATTAGTGCAAATGATCAGAGACACATTAATTGAGATATTATATATATATAATTTAGGCAATGCTCAGTTATATTTAGTAATTAAACATAAGTAACGTACAAAGCAAGCTGTCATTAGTCAGATGCTGTTATCCACAGTGATTTACAGTATTACAGTAATAATGCAACTGGAGCAACCTGATATTAAACACACACACTGTCCATAGTGACTATATATTCCAGTATAAATATAATGAATTCATTCATTCATTTATTCATTTAAATATAGTATAAAGTTACTTTATGTGCAATCTTTATATATATATATACAGTATATCTCCACAAACAAATGCAAAACTACTGGAAATGTGTTAAACACGTGTGGGAAGAAACTCTCTAAGCCAAACCTGAAATCTTTTGCAAGAGCAACTTGTGGTTTGCAGATTCATAACTGGCATTCTTTAACTTCAAATGAAAACAATCTACTTGGCACAAAACCAAATACACCAGCCCTACTGTATGATGGTGAAAGCGTGTTTGCACTAGTGTCTTCATACAGTCACACCCAGAATGACTCACAGTTCTGACTTATTTGAGCTTTATTTTAAAGTAGGTAAGTTACTTCACAATTATTCACATGTACAACGGCGGCCTGACCGACAGAGTTGTATGACTGTAGGCTATATGAATAAGAGCAAATACGAACATCGCCACACTTTCATGATCTAATAGGAAAATATTTCATAGAGAACGTACATTACTAAAGCCTATGATACACAGGGCAACTTTTTGAGCAATTTTGCTGGGCAACATTGCCGTCAACGGGCAACCAGGTGAGACACAGGGCCCACGACTGATCTAAAGTATCTAGATAGAAATTTGTTGCCCACTCTCAATGAAAAAGTGCCCAAGCAACATTGCTGAAAAAAGTTGCGCTGTGTATCATCACCTAAGACTCATTTGAGAATGCAATTATGCACAGAAATGACCACCAGGTATATGTTTATTTATGTTTTATAAATGAATTATTACATAACAATTTCAGGAACAGCAAAATTCAAATAATTCATGGCGATTACAAATGCTGTCCGACTTGCTCCCCTCCGAGCATGATGGGAAATGACATGATGACGACACAGTTTAACTCTCCTTGACTTACAACATTCAGATCTAAACATGCTGTCATGTATTTTGTAGTTGTCCTTTTTCAGCTTGTTTTTGGTCCGATTTCTGTTCAGCAACTGTGCTTTGAAAATATACTTTTTCACCTATGACATGCCTTATTATAAGGAATGTTATTCATTTAATCTGCTACTTCAATTAGCTAAATTTAGTATAAATAAATGCAAAATAATTTGTTTGCTTATAATAAGCATTTGCTTGTTGTTAGAAGTTTGAAAAATAAGAAAGTTGTAAATTGTGTGACTATTTGCAAACAACTTTTTTATTAAACTTTATTTCTTTTTATTATTGTTGTTGTTGTTGACTGTAAAAAAAAAATTGCACCTACTTCAACTTAAAAACTTCAGATTAGTTGCTGCCTTAAATGTTTAAGTATGGTCAACTTTCAACTTTAAGTAACTTAAATTAAATTAAACCGACTTCAAAAATCAAGTTGAACTTTACATAACTTCTTAAAAAAACAGTTGAAATTGCTCAACTTATTTTCTTGTTGAACAAGTTGCCATGACTTACTGATCATATTACAGTGTTGTAGTTGTTTATCCTAATATCCTAAAAATGTTTAAATGTATTTAAAAAAAAAGGTTTTAAAAAAGTAAAATACATTTTTAATGTGTTTAATTATGCATGAACAATCCTACACTATGAAAGTGGGATATCTGTATAAAACATGTTTTTTACAGAACTAAAAATGAACAGACAAGATACAGCTATTGCTTCCACAGAAACAATAACTGACAAAATATATTCTAAGAACATTTTGCCAACGTTCCCATTAAGCTATGAAAACATTATTTTAGAAAGTTCTCTGAATGTTCGAAACAAAGTTTTAAAAACGTTTTTCTTGGTTATGCAAACAGTAAGAGAACATTCCATCTTATCTTAATAAATTGCAAACGTTATGGGAATGTTACGTTTGAATGTTCTCCAAACATTCTGAAACAACTAGTAACATTTAAAAATTGTATCATGAACACCCAGCTAAAATGTTTCAGAAAAAAAAAACATTCCATAAACAATATATAAATAATGCTTTTGTGCTAACGTTCTGAGAACATTATTAAAGACCAGATAACTTTGAATGCACATTCTATTAACGTTACTGGAAGAATTTTTGTTCATAACTTTGAGAGAACCCTGAGAACATTCTCTAGCAGCTGATCAGTGTTTGTCTTTGCTAATGCGGATCACTGATCTCCTGTCAGATGTTGAAACACCACCCTGACAACACTTTTCCACCGCTCCCCTCGACTTCAGCCGCCCACATTCCCCTCCACATTCAGCTCTAGCAAGCCTGTAGTTTGACAGGAAGGCTGAGCTTTAGGGCGAGGCAACATTTATCAGAATCAATGTGAATTCATTCATCTCCGACACACAAGAAACTTCTTCACTTCTGCTGAACACTCTCGGTAAAGCGTTTAATTCACTTCTCTGTTTGTTTGAAGTACTTTTATACATTGGTGTTAAGTATTTGAGTAAATGTAATTAATTACTGTACTTGAGTATCTTTTTGAATACTCTGTAGTTTTACAGAAGATCAAAGATATTAGCAACTTTTACTACTTCACTACATTTTTGAATAAGCATATGTGCTCTTTACATCACTACATGTGTTGTGTAATGAGTGTTGCAATTAAACCTTACATTTTGCATGGCACCTTAGCTTTTTCTGCAGTAGTTTATTTCTGCTACAAAAGAAGTGTTATCGCCAACTACAGGGCTGAACGTACTAGATCTTGTGCGCTTTGCCCTTACTCACCCAAACTTGTCAACAAGGCTACTTTTCGTCAATGCGAGTTCCTTAAAGCAGCACTATGTAACTTTTGGCGTTCTAGCGGTTAATAAACAGAACTGCACACATCCCGCGGAAGAACATTCCAACCGGAGCTACTTCTCTAAGTTTATGTCTCTGGCGATTCACGCAGGTATGTGTTACTCCGCAGCGGTGACGACCCGACTAGGCTACAATAGTTCAAATATAAGTACTTATTATAAGTGTACCGTAGTGATTCGGAATAAGACAAAAACGCGGTTTGGAAGATGAATTCATGATGTACTCGCTCATTATATACATTTTGCAAATTTTGAACACAGAAAAAGTTTAGTTGTGAATCACAGGTGTTTTATTTATGAGATGAGGACATGACTGCAGCTTGCGATGAGGCCCAAACCAGCACATCCAGTGCAAAAATACTTTTTAATTTTACTTAACATTATTTTATTTATCCGTTAAATTAAAGAGACCTTTTTGAAGGATATTGTATTTTTTATTTTATTTTATTTTATTATTATTTTATTTTTATTTTTTTTGCAATTTCGAGGTGTTCAGTTTTATTTTGGTTTTAGAAAATAAACTTGACTGCTGTACTCACAAATCAACTCTTTCTTGTGTTCACTGGAATGTCTCTTTTACTAGTGCATCTTTTAGCCTATATTTAGTATAAGTAAAATACTTAAGTACTGTTAAAATCAGATACTCTAAGACTTTTACTCAAGTTGTTTTGGAATTGGTGACTTGTAATGGAGTAATTTTCACTGTAAGGTATTTGTACTTATACTCAAGTATGGTTTTCAGGTACCCTTTACACCTCTGCTTTTATACATAGGCCCAGCTACAAACTACTAAACTACTGTTCTAATGTTAGAAATGTGAGACAAAAAGCATCCATGTTTTTTTGACAAAAATAAGATGTTTATAGGAAATGACAAATTCTTTTTGGAATTATTGTCACTTTATTTACTTTATTCTTTCTTGCTCAGCTTGTGAAAATGGAGCCTTTGCCTGCAGCAAACACCCAGTTCTCTCTAAACCTGTTCAAGAAGATCAGCGGAGGAAAGGATACTTGTTTCATTTCCTCTGATTATTCCAGGTAATGCTTTTTCTGAACTCTGTTTGTTAAAGGTGCATAGAACTAACGAGATACATCCACCTTCAAATCTGCTGTTATTAAACAACCGCTATTTCTTGCTCAGCTTGTGAAAATGGAGCGTTTATCTGCAGCAAACACACAGTTCTCTCTAAACCTGTTAAAGAAGATCAGCGGAGGAAACACATCAGGAAATGTGTTCTACTCTCCGATCAGCATCTCTTCAGCTCTCGCCATGGTGTCGCTCGGAGCAAAAGGAAACACAGCGGCGCAGATGTTTAAGGTGATCTTATGTAACGGAGGCCAGCAAGTAGGTGCTGTGCAGGTAAAACCTCACTCCCCTGATCTCAATGCCGGAGACCCGGGTTCGAGACCCCATTGGAACAAGAACAAGGTGTGGCAGTGAGGACCCGGGAGCGAGGGGTTACATTGGTGCCGTGACCCGGCCTCACTCCCCTGATCTCAAGAGACGCACTAGCGACTGACGCTAGAGGCTGCAGTCTTTAGCCTCCTTGTTAGTGCGTCCACCTCCCATGCCGGAGACCCACTCGGAACAAGAACGAGGTGTGGCGGAGAGGACCCGGGAGAGAGGGGTTACACTCACACAAGTTTCTGCACCTACTTTAACTGAGAGAGAGAGTGACATGAGAGAAAGAGAATAGAGACAGAAGGAGAATCAGACCAGGAAGTGACATAAGCCTTTTGCACAAAAGCTTTTTAAAGGAACAGCTCACCCAGAAATGAACACTGGTTATTATTTACTCGCACCACACTGTTGCAGCTTGTGCAGATTATTCCAAACATGCACTATATTTCCAAGCTGCAGTTATGGATTAATGTTCAGTGGGCATTATTTGTTAAGCATTGACTTGTAAGCAGAACATACACAATTAGAGAACAATCTACAATTTCCAAAATTTCAAGGCCACTGCTTAGTGCTATTTGAAGTTATCGGGAGTAGAAGGGCAGTTTTTTAAGCATATTTCATAAATTAATAGTATTCTAAAGCACAGTACAAAAAACTTAAACGAGGTATTTGAAAAAGAACTCTGATCAAAATTAGAGAACACTTACAGAACCCTCCAAGTTATTGGTGTTAATCTAGCACCTGGTGCTAATTTCCTTAATTATCTGACAAACCTTATTTAACTGGCAGCATTCCTCTAATTTGCACTGAGATTGTGAGATGGCGCGCCGCTCTACGGTGACTGAAACCCTGCAACAGTCCTGACGGAGGCCAAAGGGACGACCCTTTCAGCCACTGCACAAAAAGCTGGTCATTCCAAATCTGTGATTTCTAGAATATTGCACTAATTCATTCAAGTCCCCCAAAAAGGCTGGTCATCCACGTAAGACAAATGCACGAGAGTACAGGATAATGCAGAGACTCTCAATGGGGAATCGGTTCAGCACTGCAGCTGGAATTGCTCGCCTGTTCAGCACTGAACAGGGTATGGATCTGTCTCGGGATGTTTAAGAGAAGTCGGACTGAAAGTGCACTCTGCAGTGACCAAACCTCTCATCAGCAGAAAGAATCCAAAGTTCACTTCAGTGATGAGAGCAAGTTTAATTTATTTGGGTCTGATGGGAAACATTTTGATGCCTGAGTGTGTAAAGAAGTCAGTGAAAGGTGGAGGAGGAAGTGTCATGGTTTGGGGGATGTTTTCTGCAGCAGGAGACATTTCCTTGAAATATCATTGTTTGTAGTGCATTTTAAAGTTTCTAAAGGGTATTTAAGAAATGGATTCACAATAGATGTTGAAGTTATCAGAACAGTGAGATTATCTTTATTAACCCTCACAGTAATTGTGTCCCAGAGATGATTTCTTTTTCCCAAAAATGCTAGTTAATGTTATCACACTGGACTAAAACGTAATGGCTTTGCTCACACAGGGTATAACAACTTGAAAATGAATTAAAAGGATTTAATTCTACCATAATAATACTGTGTAGGTCCTGGGGTTTACCAGTCCTCCAAAACTCGATGCAGCGACTCCAGCATCTCATCAACAAGCCCAGAAGCCCTGCGGCGTCAAGGGTCAGCATGGACCGTCAATGACGCAACAAACCCAGAAGTTTGAGCTACCTCCTGAACTCAAGGTTTAGTATGAGTATTTATATGAAACACTAACCTCATGACTTGCAATGACAGCTGTATTTGCCGTAGTGGTGCATGTAGCCTGTAGCTAGGTTCATCTGATAAAATTTTATATAATTTATGCAAACAGAAATCTCCTGCTCAGCCCACACCTGGACAAAAAACTGAGGAACAAATTCATTCCAGCTTCAACAAGCTCATGAGTGAACTGAAGAAACCAGGAGCGCCGTATGTGTTGAGTCTTGCCAACCGCCTCTATGGAGAGCAATCCTACCAGTTTGTTGAGGTAAGACTTAAAGCAAATAATTCAATGTTTGCTTATGGTATTAAATGGCAACGTTCTGGAAATGATCTCTAATTCAATCGATTTGCTATGTTATAGAAATTCCTCAATGACGCAAAAAAATACTATGAAGCGGGACTGGAGGAGGTGGACAAATTGGTTTTGTATGTTGTCTTTTACATTTGTACCATTTCAAGAATTTTTTTTTTTTTTGTAACATTACTTAAAAATTTTTTGCTGAAAATCATACAATAGGCAGTTTAAATTAAGCAAATTTTAGGGAAAAAAAGGGTCGGGGCAAGTTGTCACATACATTTATTATCAATTAATTCATGTAATTTATGTTTTGTTTTGAGTTTAATTTTTGTCATGTTTTGCTGAAAAGCCATTAAAAAGGCAACAAAATATCAAAAGATCAACTCAAAACTTAGATCAGAGATCTCTCAAACTGATCTGACAATCTTATAACAAAATCCTACTTCATATAGATCATATAGTGTGGAAAAAATGGGGAACACAATGCTGTAGGGGCATGTTGTCACAAAAGGTCAATGTGCATTTATTGAAATTTATCTTTTTATTTACTAATTTTTTTTTTCAAATATTTATGTTTAAGTAATTTTAGTAGTAACTGATTTTCATTCTTATTTACTTATTTCAGTGGGTTGCATAGGCAACATTTCTAATTTTAGTTCGTTTTTCATCTAATAGCACCAAGAGCTTGTAACACTCCAAAGAGAAAGGAACAATTTAAATCGCATCATATGACCCCTTTAAAGTTACTTCACACTCTTAAAAACAATTTAAATTTAAAACATTTTCATGCATTTAATTGTCTTGAGTTGATCTATGACTCATCGTATGATAAAAATGTAGAAATGTGAAACCCTTCTTGGTTGTTTGGAACAGTGTTATTTTAGTATCTTTGAGATACTATAAGAGTATTTCCTTTGCAAACACACTTTCAAAGATTTATATTCACTTATATTCAAAAATATTCACTGGAGTAAAAAGTGTGACAACTAGCCCCGGTGTTCTTGGACACTTAAGTCACTTAAAATGTCAAAGTCATGGCATTAGATAACAAAATAGGCCTACTAATGTCTGACATCAGCTAAGTGGGTACATTCCTTTTGTCTTTATTTTGATAAATTAATAAATTACAAATGCATAAATTAAAAATATAAATGCTGTTTTTTCGGTCTTTTAAAATTATATGTTTGGATTTTTTTGTCGTGTCATTTAGACATATTACAGTGCGGCTTGAAGTTCAGTGTCCATAAATTGTTTGGAACGGTCGTATCGTGTCGCGTTCAATCACGCGTAGAGATGGACAGTTTAAGCTGAACAAGGTGAGATTTCATGTTCTTGTTCAATTAAAATATTTGAAATGAAATATGAGGAGTTGTGACGTGTTTCAATTGATGCTTGACAGACTCAAACTAAACCAGTGAAGATGATGAATCGGAAGGCAGAGTTTCCTCTGGCTTTAATCCCAGAGATGAACAGTCAGGTTCTGGAGCTGCCGTATGTCGGGAAGAATCTCAGTATGTTGATCATCCTTCCCAAAGAGATTGAAGACGAAACCACTGGCCTTCAGAAGGTGAGACAGCACAGATTATACTTCATTCAGCAGATATATACTTCATTAAAAATTAATTTCCCAAAAGGGGGGTTTGCAGCGAAGCCATAGAACTATTTTTGGCTCCCCTTTCAGTGAACAGTTCTTAAAAGAACCATTTTTTCTTCGTGTGAAGAACATCTAAAGAACCTTCTGTGGAATAGAAAGGTTCCATGGATGTTAAAGGTTCTTCATGGAACCATAGATGCCAACAAAGAAGCTTTATTTGTAAGAGTGTATATGGATTGTTGTTTCATTATTTCTTAATGGCAAATACATGCACCAAGTTCTTAGTATTTATGATGGTTTCATATGGTTTTAAAAACACACATTAACATAACTTTCTTATGCAGCTTGAAAAGGCACTAACCTACGAGAAGCTCATGGAGTGGACGAGACCTGAAGTCATGCATCAACAAGAAGTTCAAGTATCTCTGCCCAAATTTAAGATGGAGGAAACCTATGACATGAAGAGTCTTCTGATCAGCATGGGAATAGAGGATGTTTTTGATGGGAAGAAGGTGAATCTTTCAGGCATGTCGCCCAACAATGACCTGGTGGTGTCGAAGGTGATTCATAAAGCCTTTGTTGAAGTAAACGAGGAAGGAACCGAAGCGGCTGCAGCCACCGGTGCTGTCATGATGACCCGATGTCTGAGGATCACGCAGGTCTTTAACGCAGACCATCCGTTCCTCTTCTTCATCCGACACAATCCAACCAAGAGCATTCTGTTTTACGGACGCTTCTGCTCTCCGTGAGCGAGTCCTGCGCCGTGAGACCCCTCCAGCTAGTTTAGTTGGTTTATCTGGTTAGAATGTGTAGGGGAGACTCGGGACAACTACAAATTGTCATCTTTTAGCATAAGAAACATTTTTATAAACATTTATATGTGCCAATAGTATCAGACTTAAGACTTAAATTAAATTGATATTATTTAACTTTTTTTTTTAATTATATAAGAAAGATGTTTTATATTTGTTTTCCAATCAATGCATTGATTTTCCTTAAATAACTCAAATATCTGTATTCTTTAAAAAACTCAAAAATTATTTTTGTTTTTTTTAATGTATTTTTATGTATGTCTATAGTTCAAACCATTATTTTGACTAACAGAAATTGTGATTGTAAGAAATTGTAATTGTAATCTGGCGCCCTTTTATTGATTATTTTGATCATTCTAAATTATAGCCTATTATTGACCAACATACAAAACTTAAACAAAACAAGCTTTTGTGCAGCTGCACATTTGGCCTTATACTTACAGTTGAACAACATAATTATTTAAAATGCATTAAATCCTTTGCACTGACCATTTTAGAGCAGGTTATTATTGTTAACTAAAAATAAATTTGAAATAAAATAAACATGAACTAATTAAATTACTAATTAAATATAAAATCTTATTTTATTTTTTTCTTATTTCAGCTAGTGCCAAGGCAACATTTCTCATTTGTTTAGTTTAAGCTGAAGTACTAAAATAAATAACTAAATCTAAACCTAATTAATAAAAAATAAAACTAGAAAGACATGAAATGACAAAAACTCAAAATTATTAAAACTTTAAACTAAATTATACAAAATTTAATTTTTATTTTAGTAAACAATAAAAACCCCTGCTGATTGCAGAGGCTTTAGAGTTTGTGTCTGTACAAAAAAAAAAACACTTTCAAAGATTTATATTCACTTATATTTATATTCAAAAATATTCACTGGAGTAAAAAGTGTGACAACTAGCCTCGGTGTTCTTGGACACTTAAGTCACTTAAAATGTCTGAAAGTCATCGCATTAGATAACAAAATAGGCCTACTAATGTCTTACATCAGCTAAGTGGGTACATTCCTTTTGTCTTTATTTTGATAAATTAATAATGCATAAATTAAAAATATAAATGCTGGTTTTTCGGTCTTTTAAAATTATTTGTTTGGATTTTTTTGTCGTGTCATTTAGACATTAAAGGGCGGCTTGAAGTTCAGTGTCCATAAGTTGTTTGGACGCTCGTATCGTGCCGCGTTCAATCACGCGTCTTCACCGCCAGATGGCGCCAGAGCGCTTCGTGCCGCGGTCCGCGCTTCTCGCTCCGTGACATCTAGAACAAAATGTACAGAACACAGTGTTCTTGTGAAGGACCCACGTGCCACATAATGAGTCTTTGTCTTCATGTATGTGTCTCTCAGTATTGAGAAACTGCAATTCTGAATCTGCAGCTGGGCTTTAATATCCAGCAGTGATGGTCAACAGATCATTGATGAAGGGTTATTAATTATTAAAGCACGGCTAATATTCTCGTGTTAATGTATAGGCTACACACCCTATATGCATGGTACAACGTGAACTCTTGTCTTGTGTAATGTGTAAACACTAGAGCCAGAGACGCATATAGTGTTTCATTACTCTTCACCATGCATTTTGCATAAATGTACGGTTTCAAAGAAAATACCTTCATTTTTATTTTCAAGAAAGATGTTTTATATTTGTTTTCCAATCAATGCATTGATTTTCTTTAAATAACTCAAATATCTGTATTCTTTAAAAAACTCAAAAATTATTTTTGTTTTTTTTTAATGTATTTTTATGTATGTCTATAGTTCAAACCATTATTTTGACTAACAGAAATTGTGATTGTAAGAAATTGTAATTGTAATCTGGCGCCCTTTTATTGATTATTTTGATCATTCTAAATTATAGCCTATTATTGACCAACATACAAAACTTAAACAAAACAAGCTTTTGTGCAGCTGCACATTTGGCCTTATACTTACAGTTGAACAACAATCTGTTGTCAACATTTAGGAGTTCTCTAGCATATAGATGATTGGGTGCGACTGGGGCAAGCTGTCACGTATTTCAATAGCCTATGTGACAACTTGCCCCAGTCGCACCTAATCATGAAATACGTGACAACTTGCCCCAGGCGCACCCAATCATCTATATGCTAGAGAACTCCTAAATGTTGACAACAGATATAAACATTTTAAACATCTCTTTCTTGCAATGCAGATCAAAAATATCCGTTTGCAACTTAACGGTGGCAAGGAAACCGGATCTTCTGTAGGCCTATTAGCATGGATCCATTTCCAAAAGCACTCTTACTTTTTTTGTCAAATGCTGCCATGCGATCTGTAGCTACCGCAGAACAAGAGCACTTCCTCAAGGTTACACATGCTCATCAACACGTGTTTCAAGCATCTTGATCAGCAACACAGATGACTTTTTTCATGGTCTCAATATCATTTCTCATGGCCTATACTGTATGTGTTGAGAGTGATATGTCATATATCATAGCTTTACTGACCTATTTAACAGACTCGTCCTCTCTATCCATCCCTAATGTCTATCTGACACCGCATGCATCCCGCTGTGATAAGGCCGAGCGCCCAGCTCTGAGCTGGTGTACTGTTCATGAACTTGATATATATATATATATATTTGGAGAAATAAAAAAGTTAAAGTTACCCTGCAGTCACTAATTTTATCCCTTAAATCTAATCTTTGATCATCAAATTAAATATGTTTTTCCCTTTAAAATAATTTAATAATACGTTTTTGAGAGAACAGTGTCAAATTATCCATGCTTTTTTCTTGAAAACTGAGGTGTATAAACTCAAATCAATGAGGCCTACAATCAATCCGTTTCAAAAAGAAATACAAAACCTGTGCTAACTGAAAGAAAACAAGCTGATAATAAAAGAGGGAATCCAAAATGTGGTGGTAATATAGCATAACAAGAGATTTACAAACTGTTTTTAAAAGACCAGAAGAGCAAAATAAGGATTTTTAGTGCAGCACAAGTAAATGTATGGTTGATTTTCAAGATAAAAGGTATTGAAAAAGCAAAATGCTTCCATTCATCTTAATTTCACTAAATATTAGGTGATTTCAGCATTTTCAAAAATTTCAAAGACAAACAATTCATCATAACTAATTAACACATGCCTTTTCACAAAAGCAGTTAATAGACAAACTGTAGCTGAACTCAAATTCAAACACAAGAGCATGCAGTAAATAATTCAATGCAACAAACCATATGGCTTAAAAAAGCACCAACAAGCACATGGGTTCAATTCCCAGCAAATGTGTGATCTGATAGAACATAAACTGCAATATGCAATGCAATAAGTCGCTTAAATGTAAATGTAAATAAGCTCACTGCTTGGTCGGTGGTGACTCTCTCCATGCATGACCTTTAACCCGAGGAAGAACTTTGTCATAAAAGTCCCTTTGGTATTTTTATGTTGTACAAACACAACTGACATTATGAGTGACAACTGGATTTTAGTTTTTTTTGTTTTTTGTATTGTATATTTTGCATTACAGAGCAGTGCCATTCATATTAAAAAAATTAAAAGAAGTATTAATTAGATCATATATACATTTATAGTTACATTAAAAGCATTTTCAGAAAGACCCACAAGACATTTGCATGGGTTTCAAAATGACAAAATTATTTTTACACTAGATAAACATGATAAAAATCAAAAGAAAATTTGCTCAAATTTGTCCTCACCCTCAGTTCATCCAAGATGTAGATGAGTTTGTTTCTTCATCAGATTTGAAGAAATGTAGCATTGCATCAGTGTCTCAGCAATGGATGCTCTGCAGTGAATGGGTGCCGTCAGAATGAGAGTCCAAACAGCTGATAAAAACATCACAATAATCCACAAGTAATCCACACCACTCCAGTCCATCAGTTAATGTCTTGTGAAGAGATGATAAGAAAAAAATACTGTATATCATTAAGGCATTTTTAACAACAAATCATTACTTCCAGATAAAAGTCCATAATCCATAACATTTCTTTCTCCAGTGATAAAGTGGTCTGGTCTGAATCAGGAGAGATATCTGCACAGATCAAGCACTGTTTACAAGCCAAAACAGCTCTAAACAAATACATGGGTGGATTTTGATGTGAGAGACAACAGGAGATGGACTTTTTCACTGGAGGAAGTGGATTAAAGATTATGGATGATTTAAAGTTAAAATGTCTTAATGATGGATTTGTTGCTTACAAACACACAGCTTTTGTCTTCTCCAGATGTTAACTGATGGACTGGAGTGGTGTGGATTACTTGTGGATTATTGTGATGTTTTTATCAGCTGTTTGGACTCTCATTCTGACGGCACCCATTCACTGCAGAGCATCCATTGATGCTACATTTCTCCAAATCTGATGAAGAAACAAACTCATCTACACCTTTGATGGCCTTAGGGTGTGTACATTTTCATAAAATTTTCATTTTTGGGTGAACGATTCCTTTAAGGAATCAAGTATAATTAAAATCACACATTTAACCAGAACGGCAACTTTCTTGCCATTTTGTTTTATTTCCAGCCCATCAAATTTGCATACAGTTGAGTTGAAAATGTTTGCATGCCTATTTAATATGAGTAAAGATTAGGTTGTTTCAACCAAGGTATGTTGAAAGCATTTGAAATGTGATGTTTTTTCAATCATAATTATATGAAGAACACAAATGTCTTTGTTCCACCCATCATGAAATCACTGTACCGTCGGGCCAGAGTGAATTCACATCAGGATGTCTGTCCATTAATATTGTTACTCAGCAGCTGGGAAAAAAAAAAGATTTCTGCAGTTTGTTGTCAAACACAGATGACACATGCATATCTGTATGTTATGTAAGCCTCAAGCATGTGTGTATATATAGACATGAGCATGACACACACCAGCATACATGTACTGTGACCTTTAACCTCAGACTTTCTCACCTCCTACCAAAAGTGTCCAGCTGGCAGCTGCTCTGTAATGCTGCAGATGCCAGAACTTTAACATGAAAAATACGGTAGCAACATTTAAAGTTTTACAGACTGACCTTAAATTTACAGTAAAAACTGTATATTTCATTAACTGAAATGTTAATATACCAAATCACTAAAATCAGTTTCTTACCTTTATAATATACTGACAATCACCTTAAAAACACGGGAAGTCAAA